AGTCTCGTAGCTCTTTACGACTGCGGACTTGGGCGTGGCGTAGTATTCCTCTTGCGGTGGGGAAGTTCGGCTGTCCGAGCCGCGTTGATACGTCCTTGTGGAGGTGACCGGTGGATTGGTGATCGAAACCTTGCGTTCGGCGCTCGTGTCCAACCTCCCGGTCACCACACCAGCGGAACTCGGCGGTCTTTCCTGCCTGTACTCCTCGAAAGATTCGTCGCTGCTCTCCTCTTCACTGCCGCCACTGGAGTCGATGTCCCTCTGGGATGAAGGCGTGACGGCCCCCGGCCTGGATGCGCCTTTCGGTTTCTGTGCGATCGGGGGCTTGTTCGGTGGTGACGTGGTCGTCAGCCCGCTCATCCCGGAGGACGTAACGGTCCTAGGGGCGGCGGTGGGTCGTGAGTAGATTGAATCGCCACCGGCTGTCTTTGTTGGCGATGTCGGTGGCGTCGACCCGAAACTTCTCGACATCGAGTCGTTCAGGCTGGAGGAAGACCGGTCGTGAGCAGAGGACTGCTTGAGGATGGATTTCGTCGGGGCACCGCTCGGCGAATAGGTGAACGCAAGACCTTTCTCGACCTTGGACTTGTCGCGGTCAGGCGACGTAGGCGAAACGGTCTTGTCTCTGCCCTGCTGCTCCGTGTAGGTGAATCCTCGGGACAAACCAGCGCTTGTCCGACTAGATCTTTGTTCGTCGTCCGCTTTGACTTCGTACATGTACTCCTTGGTGTAAGGGGTGGCCTGCCTAAGGAATCCCCCACCCGGCCGGGAGCCCTCGATGGGACTCGAGGTCCTCTCGGGCTGTTGGTGACCGGGGGCGACCCTGGGCCCTCCACCGCTCGGCCTCGGCGTACTTGTCACGGGATGCTCGTCGGTGTCCTTCAAAAGATGCAAACTGCTTAGATTCTCCTTCCGGTTGAGGGCGTGATGCGAATGCGGAGAGTCGGACTCTTCCTCGAGCGTGTCCATCCGCTCGGTGCTCCGGTCGAGCTCGTTCTTCACAACCTCCTGATCGGCGAGGGCCGGCAGGGGAGTCGTGTTGATTTGACCTTCGGAGTGGATGTGTCGAAGGGGTGGGCGACCTTTCGCCCGAGCGCCCGTCATCGTCGGATCGACGGACACCGTGTGGGTGAAAGGTTCTCTCGCAGAACGGCTCTTGGGACTGTCGTCGCCGTTGTTGAGCTCGACTTCGTCAGCACGGCGGTTGTCGACTCGGTGGTCGATGCGGTCGGCGCTTACGACGCTATCGACAAGATTGCCGTCAGATTGGCTCAACCCCACCTGCGGTTGTCCTCCGTCTTGATCGTCGCAAACGTATTCAGCCGAGTCTTCGACGGAAGATCCCATGTTGTTGTCGCGCACGGAGGTCCTCTTGAGTTTAGTGAGTGTGATACCAGTTCCGTCCTGTGTTTTTGGTTTGGCAGGCGCAGGGCGAAGTAGCATGCACAACGACGCGGGCAGACATTACAAAGTAAAGATGTGACCGTGTGGTTAGCACACATCCGACGATAGGGTTCATTAGGCGATGGATGTACGGTCAATCAACCATCCAATCAACGACAGGAGTCAGTTCAAGCGTCATGCAGCGGGGGGTTAGGAAGGGAAAAATTCGAAAAACAAGCTGTTAGTTTTTAGTTTCGGCAACTTTGAAATTTCGTCCCTCGATATCTCTACTGATGTATAGATTCTGAATTCTACGAACAGTATTTTGAAATCCTAGAGGTGTATAGATCTCTGCTACGGGTCTCTACGATCATTGCTACGCTCATCCAGTATGGTTGCGACGTATAACCGTCTTAAGGCTTGGGGCGAGCTCGGAGTCTAACTTTTGAGCAGTCGTCAACCGATCATCGGTAAGGGGAGAATGGATCGGGAGAATTCCGGGAGAGAAACATGTGAATCGAAATCCGTAGAGATGGAAAAATGAATGTGGGATTCGTTTATGATAGACCATCATTCCACCCGAGAAGTACACAGCGAAAGAAATTCACAAGACAGGAAAGAGGAAACTCGTTATGATGATCGCTCAGTGAGGCTCATGCGATCATCATAAGAAGGAACGCCTGCGAGTTTCGGAGACTGCGGTCACTCAGGGAGGTTATCGGAATTCCTGCGCAGATAGGGCGAATTCGTGTATCTGAGCGGGTACTTGTGAGTCGGTTCATAAGCCCCCTTCAACGTACACCCACTGCAGCCCGGTTTTTCAACACCGTTAATCATGTCATCGGTCAGAGAGCGGATCGGGGAGAAGGTCATGAGGGGAGTATACAGGATCGATATGGAGGTGGAGGAGGAGAAGAGAGAGGAATAAGGTGGTAAGACGAGGGTTCGATCTCAAAGACCCTGAAGTCACCCAAGTGGTGAGTGGTGCCGATGTTTTTCTTCCGGTCGCCGAACGTGTGCGCCCACCGGAATTTATCAGGCTGACTAGACATGAACGCAGTTCACCGACCATGAGGGGAGCAACGACCAGAACGACGAGAGCCCTAACGACCTCGGAATCCTTCGATAACTGTAAGAAGGCGCATTTCTCACCATCGAAAACCACTTACGTCTTCAACCTGGGATCTCCTGGCAGGATCCTCGTGCTGGCTCCGTCTGTGGGCTCCTTTAAGATCCATTGGCAACATGACTGCCACTCCACCGATTGGTTTCTGCGCACGAATGAACCTTGTGAGCGCTCGCTTTTCTTCGCGAGTCATTAATTACGAGAGAGGCGGGAATGTTTTTCAATTGAATGTTGTGCGCTCCAACCCACTCCTCACCGAATGAGTCGATCGAATTAATTATTTACAGGCTTGAGGCAGACGCGCGCATCCCATAGCTTTGACAATATCGACTGGTGAGTGCGTCGACGATTAGTCGTTCAACTCGGAATTCCCTCAAGCCGAAATGCCCTCGGGCAGGGCAGGCCAGAGCGAGGCTCGAGCAATTAGTGGAAGCCTGAACGAGAACCTACCTTGTTCTTTCCGTAACCTTCACTTTCGGTGGGCGAGATGAGTTCTCGGTCGTTTCGAGCTCTGTCCAACTCGTGTTTTTCCAGTCGATCATCCAGTCCAGAAGACGTGAGTCTCTCTTGACTACGGGTAGCTCTATCGGTGGATCTTCTACTGGGCAACGTGCCACCTAAGGAATGAAGTTTAGGGTAATGATCTCCGCGGCAATCTCCGAGAATCACCTCCGTAGAATATTCCTTTCGACATAAAAATTGAGCTCCGAGCTCCTCTGAACGTATTGAGATCCATTCACGGATCAGCCATGGGTACGGTCGCGGGCTTCCCCTGCGCAAAAGTAGCGAGGAAGAGGCGAAATGGATGTCCACCGTGGCTCTCCCCGCACGAGGCAAAAGCGGGACGGAACGCATCCGCCATGTCAGTCACCAGAGGACTAGAGAGCATCCGAAGTGAGATTTTTGTCCGTATCCCGGTTCGGGAATCATCACAATCAGTTCGCGCGGTGACGTGGTCGTCAGCGAGAGACTAAAGCCCGTCTCTCAATACATCTGATCGTATTCGTAATTCGCGATTCGCTGACGACTTTCGAGCCCCCAGGCCTTTAAATATTCGAGTATACTCATTCCTGACTAGAGTGTTTCGCAGAAGCCCGATGAAATTGAGTTTCAGGAGGTTTCGCTCCGTATTGGTCGCCTTGATTCCCTGATCATGTTCAAGGCTCCCCCCACCTCCCCTTGACAGAACATCAATAAACATCAAACCAACAAACGAACACACTCAGGAAACAGATGATTCACAACAGGCTAACATCGAAGGAGTACCATGTTTATACATGCCACTCGTTTGAGTCGGTGCCGGAAAGGATGAATCGGGAGATAATGCTCGACGGATGATCATTGATTGGAGCATGATCAATGATTGGAAGGCGGAGTTCAATGATCACGAAGGAATGATCGGGGCTCCGGAGAAGAGGGCATTTACAATGATGGATACAGAGATTCTCGAACTTCCATATCCGAATAATTGGGAGGTTTGAAAATAATGCGGAGAGGGATCCCGTGTAAGCGATGTCCGAGTTTATGTAGATTTCGGGTTGTGTTTGCGATGTTGTGTGGGAATATCTCACCTGCAGACATTGTCCGTTCATCAGAGAGTCTATCCTTACTGGAAGAATTACTGAGCGCTGCAAAGAACGATCGCAACGGGTGTGAACGATGAGGAGAACCATAATGAGAGAAAATTAAGGGAACGGAACTCATCGGAGGAAAGCATTTATTCGGAAAGAAAGGAAGCGGCAGGCATTCATCCGATGATGGATGTTGAGGACTACAAAAATGTCAGGACAGTGACGACATTCGACAATGACAACAACAGCAATGATGAGGGAAACGACACTGATGATATGTTCTCTCTTCTATTCCGACGGAAAATGGCGTCAGGCACATGCAAAACTCGGGCACAGCACACGGCAGAGCAATCAGGCGTCACTACCTCTATATCGTTCATGGTCACCATCTTGTTCATTCATCATTTCTCAGAATAGTCAAATCACTCCATTGTGATGATAATAGGTATTATGAGTATATATATTAATGATAATGATGATGGTAATAGTAATAGCATTATTATTATTATTATCGATAGGGCCATCCTCTAGAGAGACGAGACGAGAACGAGCAGGCGTACGAGCTAGCGAGCGAGCAAGGGTTCGAACGCGGGGTTTCAACAAGCAGTTTCAAGACGCAGAAAATTACTTACGATCCATGCTCCTCGAGGAAATACGCTTGTTAGACAGAGTTCTTTCAAACGACGGAGGCGGCCGGTCGATCTTCAGGCTCATCATCCGCGACTGGTACTGGGTTCTACCGGAGTATCGGAACTTGGACCCGAGACGCGGTATCAGCAGTCGCTGTTTGGGCGCCGGTTCGGGCGACATCAGACGGAAAAACGTGTGGTGTTCGACGCACGTTTTCCAAAGCCGCTTCGCAGCGCGGTGGTTGGCCAGCTTGAAACCAATCGTGCTTTCGAATTGTTCGAACTCGCCGGGACGGACTTTGATGTAGAAGTTGTTCCGCTTGTAGGATATCTTGAGAATTTTCGGCCACGCGAATCGGTTGATCCGCAGCCGATCTCTGTAGACGAGCAAGCCAGTTGCACATACTCCTAACATGATATCGACGCCTTCGTAATCCTTGGCGGGATGGAAATCCACACCATACATCGCCAATTTACGGGCATTGTCGAGGTAGTTCAGCTCGGCTTCGGCGGGCGTCTGACCCCTGCGAGGAACAAGAACAGATTGCGTCGTGAGCCTGATCCGAGCCTGGAGGAATCCGGATACGGACACAGAAGGGAAATGAATACATACGCAGTCATAACAGCATGCCTTGCGAGGTCGATCGACCGAGTACTCACTTGCGCTGACTGTGCAATTCGACGACTTTCTCCTCCAACTCGGGAGTCTGGTTCGGGGCGAACCGACACGAGCTCAAGTAGTCTTTGCCCATTTCATCGGGATCGTAATCTCCCAATTCTGCCTGAGCCAAATACGAACCAAGGACGGCGTGTGTCACGAAAGAGCATGGCAGCTTACCACTAACAATATCGTCGCGCACCTGAAGACACAGCTGGTAACGCGTAATATCCTCCTGAAAATTTGATCAGAGTCGGAGTCTATCCGTGTTTCTATGCGACACGAGGATGAGGAAGAGCCTCCCAAGGACTCCCGGAACCATCGCAGCGATAAATAGCGTTCGCGAGGGTACGCGAACGGCCGCGGAGCCGTGATGATGACGGTCGAGAATTGAAAGGAATGTTCCTGACGATTTTTTCCACATGCGTGGTCCGTCAGTGCCTGCACAGGACCGAGTTTTCGTTCCGATGGGGAAAATCAAACCGCGACTCACCTGTAGCAGCGAGGGATCGGGCGGATAGAATTTCACTTCGAAGTTGAGCGTCCAGGGACACGCCTTGATCTGTTTTGCAATCCTCTTTTCGAGGTTGACCCAGTTCCGGACATCCTCTGCATCTCGGTACGTCAGACCGAAATAATCTTTTTCCAGAAGGTTCAACGAATCGCAGACCATATCGAAAAGCTGTAATCGACGAGCTAAATCAGAGAACGGCCTAAACACCTCCGGATGGTGTCCGAGTTTTTCACGCGTAGTTATCATACATATGAATGGTGGGCTCGCTCAATCGCTATGCATATATGTGGCCGTCCATATTAGATCCCTGCTCAATCGAGCTCACGGTTCTCGCTCGCAGAGACTCGCGATCAAACGCCGCGCTCGTCGGCGGGCGATGAGAAAGAAAAGAACGAGTCGCTTGGCAGCCCTGTGAAATATTCACCATTCGCTGTTTCCCCGCACTTGTTTCATAGCGAGCTACCCCACCCTAACCTGGTGCATATGCAGCATTGTGTAGTTCGCAGCTCGAGTAAACAAGACGCGGGAGTTCGCGTTTGACTGAGAAAAGTTCTGAGCCCGGAATCATGACCCTTCCTCTACAGAACTCCAAATATTCCGGGAAACAGGAGCTTCATGAGATCGACCATAATCAACGAGCGTAAGGATTCCGTCACCTCGAGATTTTGTCAGCCTCGTTGAGGGAGATGGAAAATCACGAAGATACCCACGTGCATGAAGTGGGTAAATTAATCAGGAGACTAACCTGTTGTCCCTTTGCTCGTTTGTCGATTTGCGCCTCGTAGTCGGATCCATCGAGAAGACGAACGCTGCAAGTGATACCTTGTCCTTTCTTCGGCGAAGGGTAAGCTTGCATCTTCTCCTTCCTGATGGAGGCAGGGGTTGTCCTACCATCCTCGTTTTCGTCAGCCATGCTCATGACTGGAGCAGAGATTTCGCAATTATTCTTGTTCGAATAAAAAACGATTCGTCAGACGTTCCCTTGTCGCACGTAGTCATCAACAATTTTTCTGAAAAAAAAGAAATCCATAAAACGGGGGATCGAACGACGAAAATACGAGACGGATTCACTCGTCGTGAGCGAATAACTATTCTCCGAATCCACCGGAGAACTTCTTGATGCTCTATGAGAATTTCCTGTGTAATTCTACGAATATCCAACGTTTTCGTTCGAACCGCTTCCGTCGTGATCGAGACCTTACAGATCGATATTTCATTGCTGTCGACCGAGTGACCCTTCCAACATCGATGATGGGAATTAGGGACGTCCAGACCTCACTTGAATGACCCAATAAGAAGTCGATGTCTTCCTACCGTTCGATCTCGGAGATGGTGCCGGCTCTCAACGAGCTTCGAACGGGACCTTAACTGCTGTACTCATCGGGCGGACGAGAGATCTGACTGACGGACGGCCGATCCCTCTGACTGACTGACTGGTAGGTTGAGGAAGCGAGCCGTCGCCAACAGCAGTCGTATACCTAGACATTCGTTCAGACAACGTTACTTGGTAGGTTCGGCGGAACTCCACTAGACCAAACAGGGTGTGGTTTCTCATATGGCGACGGAACCAGGCGAAACCGCTTTCGAAGCGAAATTTCATTGATTCAACTCGGGTTAGGTCAATCGCAGACGGAGAGCGGGAGAAAATCCTCCCTCGCTCGCTAGAGGAGCGTCGGACCGTCAAGTCGGTTCGTGCTCTGATTCCGCATCCGCTCCGCAACTCCCCCTTTTCCTCCAACTCTTCCGCCTCCTCTCGCTGCCGTCGACGTCTCGCCTCACCTCCCTCTCAGCTCGAAAGCGTGCGGTTCGAAGCTGAGGACATTTTTGTCGTCGTATGATGTTCCCGGTCTCCCACAGTCCCCAATCAGAAGACCAAATTGTCCCTCTGGGTGGAGCTGACACTCAAGCCCGACTGGGTGGCGGCTATTTCGACGTCTTTCTACTGCTCTCAAATATGGGGCTTATTAGCCCGACCCGGGTCGAGTCGACTATCCGTCCCCCTCCGTTTCCTTCCTCCCTCCGTCGAGAAGACCTTTGACCTCTGGTGAAGCAGCAACTCTTCGCAATATCAACGCGGATTAGCCGCTTTGCTCGAGCACTCATCGACGCTCTCGTTTAGTTTCTCCCCGAGTCCATGGAGCTTCGCTTCCAGCCTCCAAAATTTTGACGAAGGCTCCCGAAGTTTAAGGTGAGAATTTCTTTCCAGAATCCACCGTTCCTCGAGCTATTTACCCATTTCGGGAGGCACAGACTCCGGAACCTTAGCTTGAGAAACTCCCGCCGAGAACTACGCCGCGGTCAATTGCACACGGGAATTCGATAAGCCCACGCAGATTGACTGTGTCCGATAGGGAAGCATCCCCTAAATCATTCAATCGGTCTATAAACGAGCGCGAAGGATCGCCGTGACGACCCTCTACGTCTAATTGGCCTGTTGGGGGGCGAAGCAGACGTGGAGCAAGGTCTCCGACGGTGCCTTAGGGGGAGAGCCATGCCCATACTGATGCGAGGCCACGATGTATCATCATGGCTCCTCGGTATGACAGCGCTCGCTCCGACGAGAGCTGCCGTGAGCGTGGATCCTCGTCTCCGGAAAATGGAACTCCTTCACGCAAGCCACGCTTTTCGTCGAGATCTAAATGAATTGATGGAGAGAGGCTCCGGGGACCTTTCTGAATGGAGTGTATCTGCGTCGAAGCGAGCCGTCTGTTCGTTGGCGCGGATACATTCCGCGTTATCAGGAAACCGTCACGGATCGAGACGATGCTTGTCCACGGAGCCTAGTTCCCCTGTGCGCGGATAAATTCTTGTAGTCTGTTGACCAGGTTTACTTTTGCGGAATCTTTATTGTCCCACCGGAAGGTGGATCGTAAATCACGCTGTTCGCAGGACGCGGCCGATCATGTTGAGACGTCGTCGGTGAATCTTCGCCGGCTTCTACGCCGCACCCAATTAGATAAAAAACACATGAACGCGTCTCCACGGTGATCAATGTCAATATTTCCGCGATCCTCCCAATCAAGTTTGACGCAATTCTCCGCAATTGATAGTTCTTTCGCTTCGCAGCGCTCTTCATGGAGAAATACTCGAAAATGGAATCCCAAGGGAAGAATGTTCATCGTCGAGTCCGGAACGTTAACAAAGGCGAGTGTTTTTTTTGCGCCTCATATTGACACCATATATAATTGAGCCACTCGTCCCCAGCACGGAGTCGACGAACAGAGTTGTTGTTATTTTCTCTCCATGCCCGATGCCGCGAGCGCTCAAGCCGACCGGAAAAACTCGAGATGGCCAAAGATAAGTAATACCCCTCATTCTGAATTGCCGGCCCACAAAACATGATGGGGCGCTCAAACATTCGCGGGGATCCCATTCAGTCTTCCGATAATTGGAGATATTCTTCCGAAGAAATCAAGCGATACCCGATCAAATAACTCGGCATCCGAGGAGTTCCCACGGTGCGCTGGTGGCGCTCGAGGACACGACACGTCCCGAATCGACCCTCAATTTCCACTCGATCACGTAAGCTTCCGAGAATTTCATGGCCTTCCACGAGGCGGACACCTCCCGACCTCGGGGGACAACAAGATTTCCGAATCCGGATTTACCAAGCACGCCTAGCCGACAGAGACGAATTATTATTGAATCGAGATGTCGAACCTATGGCTGAGTCGGAAAATCGCTCGGACGTTCGGTGCGCCCACTTGAGTCGTTCCGAGCGGGATCTATCAAGGTATTACGAGATGATTCGATTTACTCCCGGCCTTGTGTCCCGTCTCCGTACACCGGCCCCGGGAGAGTCTCCGAGAGTCTCGATGGCCTACCCGGTTCTTCCCATAAGAATATCATTTCATCGGCTCTGTGATACCTTCTTCCTCTTCAAGAGCGTTCCCCCTTATCCCACCCGGATGCTCTGGCACAGGTAGGAATCTTCAACAGAATATCTGCCAGGTACGAAGCGAAAGTGAAAGAAAATGTTCGATTCCACTCAGTGCGCGACTCTTGTTTGGAATCGTCAAACAGCCGAAAATTTTATCCGCGGTATAGCTTATCGATAGTACCGAGCTAGCTCGCCGCGGTGATCGTGAGGCAAAAAGAAAGAGAAAATCCCGCCTACGTGCTCAGCAGCAGCCGCACTCAGGTTGCGAAGAATGAGATGAGAAACACTGAAGATCCGGAAGACACGACTGAACGTTCGCCTGCCTTCTTGCCTGGCTGCCACGAAGCATGAGCATGACTTTGTCCGCGAGAAACAACAACGAGGAGAAGATGGACGGACACCATTTCCTATCCGATTCGGACTCGCCTCGCCCGGCGAGCGGAAAGCGATCGTCGTTCCGAGCTAACATCGCCAACTAGTTGAGATTCCGGGCAACAATCCAAACGTTTAGGAACGTTCGGCGAACGCGAACGGTGAGACAGAGGAATGTTCCGGCCAAGAGTATGAATGAACGCGGGCAGAAGGGAGATGCGGTTTTTCTTGGTGAAGTTACCGCTCGCTCCCGAACGCATTCGATTCGAACATTCAACATTCGCTCACGTCACCGGTTGTCATGGCAAACTTTTTTGCCCAGAAGCAAAACATTCTTGGCCGACTAAGAGTCAGCTCGAGCTTTTGAAGGAATATAACCTCCTCTAGGTTTCCTCAGTTTTCAACGGGAAACCTGATCTCCAAGAATTTCCGGTAGATACAATTGACGGGAGAACGACACCGTGAAGTCAAATAATTCAAGAAGCAACCCGGCGTGGAGAGCACTTGAACCGTTCGACTCATTCTACCGTGAGGTGCTGGAATCTGTAAAATACCCTCTCGGAAGAGACGGGTCTCACATTCGTTTGGCATGGAGTTCCGAAGGGAAAATACTCGACGTCGTGAACTGAATCAACCGACTAGGGAAATAACGAGATTCATCGGACTTGATGGGATGAAGAATCGGGACGATACCTGGCGAATAGCTCGGAGGAGAACTGAGCTCGCGGAGGGTGAATGACGACAATTAGCAAGCATCGTCCGGGAGGATCCAGAGACCGTTCTCGGAGAGCCGACGCGATTCTACGGCTTCTCTGTATAAGTTCCTCGAGGATTTGCGAACCATGAGAGTGCAGTTTGTGAGGCTTCCGTATGAATTGATGAGCTCTGCCGACAACCACCACGGAGCTTTCCGCTACGATCGCTCGGCGCCGCTGAGTTTCGGGAATTTCGGTGGTACCATGACAGAATGTACAAGTTCTGAAGCAGGCATCGAGGAGAAGAACCCCGTCGCGCCGGCTCACTCGACCTCCGAGGTCACAGCACTCGAGCTCGATTGGAGCGCAAGATATCCCCGATTGATACCAGAAAGGAAATCATGTAATGCGTTGCTCTGTCAAGCACTCGAGCACGCACTCAGAAAGGTCGTTTGTTTTCATCTTCAGCAACTGATTGGGAACCATGACTATATACACAAACGTGCTCGGACCTCGATGTCAAGGAGCACCGAGCGAATCCAAAACAAATCCGACACCGAGCTGCATTCGATGTGAAATGAAACCGACCGCCGATGAGAGAAAGAAAGACGAGACGACGTCACTGTCCGCCTCGACCGAATCTGGATCTTCCGCGCTCGACGACGAAGATCCCCGTTGCTGGGACGAGTTCTCTCTGCGCAGGCATTTGTTTCACGAAGACGATGTCATGCCTTCGAGCGCAGTTAATCCTGGAGGATTCTTCGCGAACATATTCAACAATTCGTTTCTTATTCAACGCCGACAAGTGCGGTAAGAGAAAAAAAAGAGGGAAGAAATGGCTCCGTTGCCATGATATGCGCAAGAGAAGAGCCAAGTGAGCAGCTCCGGCGGCCAACACCCACGAGAAACGACGTTCTCACAAAACGAAAATGTCTCGACCGCAGAACTCATCTTGTAACATTTAGA